CTATCTGTATATCTCTTCTATCTTTCTGCCCGATCGCGGTGGTTTTTCTCGCCAGGCTTATTTACTAAAAAAGAGGGCGCCTCGAACAAACTAGAGTTGCCAGGAAAATTCATTATCCTTCTAGATACTCCAGTGCGCATGCTTCCAGCGTCGCGTTACTTTCGCTGTCGCAACACTTTATTCAACATATAAAATATTTTCCAGGATTCCAATGATTTTTAACATATCCCTCAGGAGTCAAGGGGTGTCTTTACACTATAATTTGTTGAATATTAAAAGTAAGTTCAATCCGAAAACTCCCAAAAAGGATTGTTTTGGATGTATCTTTTCGAGACAAGTTTTCGTTTGTTAATTGATAATTTTTTAAAGTGAAATACAGCATCCTCAAGTCTCCATACTAGTTAATAGTAAATTCAGTATATATTAGTAAAGCCACATTCTCAGCATCATTAATTAAACAATTGCCAACCTTTTATAGTTCTGCTATCACCTTTTTATGTTTAGATTTCAATTGAAATACGAACAATTTCACCTGCAATTCGGTAAGGGAGGTCGAAGCATTACGATAGTCAGCAGCAGGATGAAGAGATAGGAACACTTTGAAAGCAGCTACAGGAATAATATTGTACTCGGCTTGTGCAAATATCTACTGAGGTGTTTCTAAACGGTTCCTGAATATCTCTGCGTGTCAATTGGAGATTCCCATGCTTCTTTTGCTTGGCCGTTAAGCTCGTGATACCTGATGGATTTCAATCACCTTAGCACTTTAAATCACTTTCCGCAACCCCAACGCTAAAAGAGTACGGGAAATGCCTTCTTCTTGCCTATCAAAATGTCCAAAAAATTTCAGTTCAAATTTAGAAAAACGGGATTGGGTATTTTTTTTTTCAACAAAAATGTCCCCCACTGGCTCGTGAGGGCCTGTTAAAGGTTTATTATGCCAACACACATAAAGGCATTAGTGTATATTACATTTGCCTTAGCTGTTTTTCATAACGTAGAAACATTACTAGTTAATTAGGTCACTACTTAGCTGGTTGTATAATTTCACAAACATTACAAATATGGAAGTAATAAATTTATTGCTAATTTAAACAGCATTAACAATGCGTTTGTCAATAGGCCTACAGTTTCTGGTCACTGGAGGGTCTGTTAGTTACATACACTAATCTAGAAATTCCAGAGCACTGTTTCTCTTGTTGTGTGTGTTCCTTTAGATTATTTGGTAAAAACATCGCACAGTCTGGTTCACTTAACAATAGCAAAAATTATTATTTATTCGATTGTAAGTAAAACTTCTACTCTATAGGTTTGTTGGTAGATCAAGCTCACAGATAAAACTAAATAGCCATTTACGTTTTTCTCGTATCAATTCAAAACTGGTTGGTTCGTTAGTTGACTGATAACACTTTAACAAATTCACTAACTAATGCCAGACTGATTCACTTTTAAACTCTTTCTGACTTCTAACTGACTGATTTGTGTTTTTATTTATCACAATATTTGTTTTTCTCCAAATCTCACGAAAATTCGAAACGTCACTCAAATCTAAACAGTCAAAAAATGTCTAGGTAGCACACATCATCATTTGTCATGAAAAAATGGCTCTGAAAAACAATACAAAACATCTAAATAAAAATTATGAAAAAAAACAACAACAACGAAGCCTAAAACACTACCCCAACCCTGGATAGAGAAGTTTCTTTAGCAATTCTAATGAACAAATAAAACAATATTATATTAAACTTACATAGTTAGTTTACAGTTAAAAATTTATTTGCATAAACAGACATTGCAATCAATAAATGTTTGAATAACTGTGGTCAGGCACAATTGTGATTAAAAACAATATATTCTTTATTGTCTTACTGTCTCAAAAATGTCCATCTTCTAATTTGTTTTGACGGCTTTCATTTCAGTGACTTACAGCATGAAGATGGGATGACCTCATTTGCTGTTTTGTCACTTGGAGGGTTTTCTCGAGTGCGTTGGTCAAAGGAATCTACTGATGGCTTCATTTTTGGTTTCATTCTGAAAGTGGTCTCAATAGGAACATCAGGCTCTTCGTGACACCCTGGAAGCAGTCTCAATAGGAACCTTAGACTTTTCAGCAGGTTGACTTACCACTGGCAAATTTTTCTGTGAAGCTGTACTGACAGGATCTTTGGGCTCTTCAACATGTTGAATTACCACTGGAAAAGTATTTTCTGAAATCAACCTGATGGCTCTTCTCCCATCAAAGACAATCACAGTAGATGACCTTAGGACACCTGTTCTGGATTCTATAAACTACATCATTGATTCTTTTGACTGCAGCATATGGTCTTTCCCAATATCTATTTATCTTTGGAGTTAATCCTCTCATGTGGCATGAACTGTACAGCAATGCCATGTTACTATGACGAAATCCAGACTTAAAAACACATCATAGAATCTTTTCATTTTACCACTAGATGATTTAAGTCTTTCTCTGGTAAAGTTATGTATGGCATCAGTGGTATTTTAGGTCTCTGCACACACTGTATATGTGAAACATTTTGAGTTCTCTTCTAAACATCAGTGATAATGTTGTCTTACGTGTAGTTTCATATATTGCCATTCAATAACATGTAAGAGTAGAACTTGATCCCACGTTTTCTGATGTTTATCTACATAAATTAATATATGATTTCAAGGTGTATGGTTGTACCTCTGCACAATTCCATCTGGAGGTAGACGAAGAACTTTTATTCTGGCTTTTATGACCCAAAGGATTTGACACATCTTAACAAACAAGGCTGATTAAAGGTTTCATCCCCTTATCTGAGTAAAATTCGAGAGACATCCCAAATCTTGAAACAAATTCATTGCTAGAGTTTATGCTTCCTGGAATGGAACAGCATATGCTTCTGGCCATTTGGTGAAATAGTCCATCACCACCATAATCTATTAATTTGCACTTTTACTCTGTGACAGAGAAACAAGTACATAAAAAACAACTGTCTTAAGTAGTGTTCCAACAAAATCCTGCTGTAGTGATTTCTTTTGGTCAAAATATAGTTCACACGACTTACACCAATTCTCTACAAATCTTTGGTACACAATCTAAAAAAAAAAAGGCAGTGTTCAGCTGTTCAAAGGTTATGGAGATGACTAAGTGCTTCTGACTGTGGAAATACCAACTGTAGTCTTAGTTTATGTCCACTGGTATCTTACCAACTCCAATATAGCAAAATGACCCAGGGCTTGAAGGACACTCAGTAGATCTTTCTGATACGCACAATACCTCCTTTCTATAGCATTTATTGCCTTGATATAGTAGGTGACCACGTTCTTTCCTGTTTTGTTTTTGCGACAACACTGCTATCACTGATAAGTTATTAACATGTGTATTTCTAATTAAGCCTAGGATTTACATTAAACTTAAAGCATGATGCATCACCAATGCTATGGAGCATCGCATCTAGGCCTGCAGTAGATCTACGGCTAACAAGGAAACTCTAATTTTTATAAATTACGATTATTTATTTTATAGATATACATACTTTACTAATGAAGTCACCCAGAATGCTCTCAATGGGACAACCCTTCCATTGTGATTTAGGTAATATTTTGTTGATATCAATAACAACTTTTTTCTCAAGCCAGGCTTAATTCCATTTGTTCTTCACTATTAATATTCATATTACCATTCAGTACATGCACTCAAGCATTTAATAGTTAATCTTTCAATCAGGTGGTCAGCCTTACTTGTTCGGAAGTGCAACAATAGCATCAGTTTGGGAAACCCATCACATATCAAACACTTCCAGCATTTCTTCAACCAGCAGTGAAAACACATCCATTGACGGAAACAGCCGACTAGTCGCCAGGATGCACTTTTGGTTGTGCTCTATGTTGTTTGGCACATCTGAGTAGATCAGTTTCCGAAAATGTTTGAAGTCTTTATAAGTCATCATAATTACATAAAGGTACATAAAGTATGCAAAGATTCTCATCTCATTAATATTTATCACCTAAGCAACAACCCAAAAAATATTCAGCAGCAACAAGCACATATTTAACATGAACTAAAGTACACAACCGTTAGAATGGCTTTAGAATATCATTCCACATAAAATATAATTCATAAGTTCTGTGAAATCACTGAAAAAAACTCATGTCTGATACTATTAAGTATCCAACAGTTTCTATTATCATAATGTTAAGTGTTAGTTTCACCAGTTGCTGTGGTCTAACATGAAGTTCTACATCAATTCCAACAGTTTGGTATTATCATACTATGTAGTATTACATTAGCTTCAAGTTTGGTACTATTTATTGTTCAATTTCAGCAGTTATATACTATAACGTGTAATATTAGTTTCAACAATTGTTATATTATCATAAAATAAAATGTTACATTAGCTTCAACAGTTAAGAGCTGAACAGTTTGATTGTGATGGTTAAAATGTAGAGAAAACTATCTTTCACAACTTTATTAAATGTAATGAAACTGAGTATCACTGACTAGTGAAAACTCAGAACATACACCATGAAAAAAAATCGTTTTATTCAGTCAGGCTTAACAATGCATGACAAATTTTCAAACAAATAGATAATATATTTTATAGAACATTTCATACTTTAAAAAGTACCATTATATTGGAATGGTTCAGAACAACATATACCAAAGAGGCTGCTTTACAAAAACAAACCTACGAGTAACTGAAGGCAACCTTTTATATTACAACACAATCACCATGGGTAGCATTCATACTGAATACACATCCATCAACACCGTAACTGAAGTGCTCTTCAGTTGACTAGTTCTTACTTTATCAAACTGAAAATGGGACACCACTGGTTTTTAAAACAATACATGTAATTGAAAAATATTCATATTAAGAATTTAACAACATAAATCCAGTGTAATTATAAATGAATAATCAAAGAACAAAATGTTAAATGTTTTCTGAAGTCAAATATTTTTTTATGAAAGACTCATTTTTTTCTACACCTATTTAATACTTACATTTTGATGTGGTAAAAGAACTGAACATATAGCATTGTCGGTATAAGAATTACACTTGGTGGTGACACAATAAATTCTAAACAAATCATATTCAAACAGAGACTTGAAAGCACAATGATGAAAAGATGGCATTTTAAAGTAATTTTTCTGGAAAAGTAGAAAGCTTGTTAGATATGCATCTTTTACACTTCAATTAAAAAACACCTTATTTGTTGGATCAGTTGGAGTCTCTAAAAGATAAACATTTTCTTAGTACCTAATACAGCAAATCAAACATTAATACAAAAAACATTTTCCACCTGTATTTTACTGGTACTGACTTTATTCATATATTATTTAGCTATTTTTAGTATTATACCTGATAAAAACATACAATGTCCAATCATCAAATAATGTTCTGTTTCAAGGGAAACTGGTCAGAGAATGCTGCAGATTACACTGCATGTAATGGTAAGCTGTAGTTAATCTTTAAATCCTTATTGTGTGAAATTAAAAATTTAGGTGTCAAATAATCATGTGTGTTAAAGTTTACTTCAAGGATGGAAAAAAATGTTTCACACCCAGAACAAGTATTCCCTGCTTTAACTTTATAGATATAGTTCACACCCAAAATAACTACTTTCCTTTAACTTTATAGGTATAGTTGTAGTTCACACCCAAAATAACTACTTTCCTTTAACTTTATAGGTATAGTTGTAGTTCACACCCAAAATAACTACTTTCCTTTAACTTTATAGGTATAGTTGTAGTTCACACCCAAAATAACCCCTTTCATTTAATTTCATAGATATAGTTGTAGTTCACACCCAAAATAACTAGTTTCCTTCCCTAATTTTATAGATAAAGTTGTAGTTCACACCCAAAATAACTAGTTTCCTTCTTTAATTTTATAGATATAGTTGTAGTTCACACACAAAATAACTAGTTTCCTTCTTTAATTTTATAGATATAGTTGTAGTTCACACCCAAAATAGCTACTTTCCTTCTTTAATTTTACAGGTATAGTTGTAGTTCACAGTTAATCATGATGAAACTTCCTGTAAATTGTTTGTGAAATTGAATCCTAAACAAATCTTCAATCTTTTACCAACAAACACCAAGTGTCTTATTTAAGCTGGTAATCGTACCTAATAAGGAAAAACATAGATATCTTGTACAAAACACACAAATCCTTTTTAAATTACTCAAAAAAAAAAAACAATTAAAATTATTAGCTAGTTTCTTTATTGGTATTCAAGAACTTGAAGAAAATTTTAATTTAACACACAAGAAGATTATGAACAGCCCTCAACTTTTCAGCAAAAATATTTCTCTTTATTTTTGCAAAATTATTTAAGAAATATATATTAGGATTAAGTAAGTAAAATATGTTTCTTGTTCATAATTTTTCCTGACTTTTAAAGAAGAAAACCTGAAACTGTATACTGAAACCATCCTATATGTAAATATTATCTTTCTTGCTCCATTCAGATTGATTGTATATCAAAAAGGGACTATTTAGTTTCAGTTTCCTTACAAGATCAGCTTTTCTTAAACAGAAATATTTTTCCATGTTCTGTTTGCTACTGAATCCTCATAAAAACAAGTAGTACTAAGAATTACCAATAATTAACTTCATGGGACTGAGACAAACTTCAACAGATTAGCATGTATTGGTGTTTGCTTAGCTGAGTTATTAAAATTATACCATCAAAATCACATTATTCAAATAACACCCACTGTAGTTTGCTACAAGATAAAGATCACTGTAACCCATTACAGGTGCTTTACATGATTCCTTTCCTTCGTGATTAGAAACAGACCACATTATAGTTTTACAGAACTACATCACACACTAACCAACAGCTGAAGCTATCACCTCACTAACATTTGGGTCCGTGCTACGTACAGCAAGATTCATCGTAACACCTTCAGAACTATTTCCAAGAGCTAGCTTAGCTCGAACTAGGACGTCATGACCACCACGATAAACACCTGCTAAGAACAGTGCATGAACATTCTGTCCTTCTGGAGCCTTGTCTGACCGCTCACACGGCTGCATTCCCATTAACTGGATAATATTCTTTACAGTCTCTACAAAATGTAAAAGAAACTTGCAGAATCAAACATCATGGATTCTGAATCATACTGATTGTTTACCTTTCCTAATTACACTAATCCTATGTGAAAAGTTTTAAGTAAATATATCAAAAACTCAATTACAGTAAACTAGTGCTTCTGTAAATATATCAAAAACTTAATTACAGTAAACTAGTGCCTCTGTAAATATATCAAAAACTCAATTACAGTAAACCAGTGCCTCTGTAAATCTAATTTCAACTAATAAGCATTAGTTCTCATAAGCACAGCTAAATCAATTACACACACTACAACCCAGCAGAACCTCACATGATTTGCTTTAGTTTCTAGATACACCAACCTAAAGTAAGAGTTTTATTAATAATATCCCATCTTAACAATTTAATGCTTTTATTTTACAAGATAGACTCAAGTAAAGGAGGACAGCTGTGTGTAGTGACTAGTTTTTCACAACTCTCAATCAAGACAGCAGTGTATAGTGACTAGATTTGCACAACTCTCAAGGAAGACAGCAGTGTACAGTGACTAGATTTGCACAACTCTCAAGAAAGACAGAAGTGTATAGTGACTAGATTGGTACAACTCTCAATAAAGACAGCAGTGTATAGTGACTAGATTTACACAACTCTCAAGGAAGACAGCAGTGTATAGTGACTAGATTTGCACAACTCTCAATGAAGACAGCAGTGTATAGTGACTAGATTTGCACAACTCTCAATGAGGGCAACAGTGTATAGTGACTAGATTTGCACCACTCAATGAAAACAGCAGTGTATAGTGACTACATCTGCACAACTATCATTGAGAACAGCAGTGTATAGTGACTAGATTTGCACAACTCTCAATGAGGCCAACAGTGTATAGTGACTAGATTTGCACCACTCAATGAAGACAGCAGTGTATAGTGACTAGATCTGCACCACTCAATGAAGACAGCAGTGTATAGTGACTAGATCTGCACCACTCAATGAAGACAGCAGTGTATAGTGACTAGATCTGCACAACTCTCAATAAAGACAGCAGTGTATAGTGACTACATCTGCACAACTCTCAATAAAGACAGCAGTGTATAGTGACTACATCTGCACAACTCTCAATAAAGACAGCAGTGTATAGTGACTACATCTGCACAACAATCATTGAGAACAGCAGTGTATAGTGACTACATCTGCACAACAATCATTGAGAACAGCAGTGTATAGTGACTAGATCTGCACAACTCTCATTGAGGACAGCAGTGTATAGTGACTAGATCTGCACAACTCTCATTGAGAACAGCAGTGTATAGTGACTAGATCTGCACAACTCTCATTGAGGACAGCAGTGTATAGTGACTAGATCTGCACAACTCTCATTGAGAACAGCAGTGTATAGTTATTTGTTTTACATGAAAAATTAGATAAAAGTAAGAGGTGAGTGTAGAAAATCTTCATTGAAATGTTTCAAACATTAAAATCACATTTTAAAAATCTAAAATTCAAGCAGCTCAGGAAATAAAGCTGTATACACTGATTGATAAGCTTACCTTCCATAGTTTTCATAGATGTCAAAGCAAAGGTGTCTTCTAGTTCATTATCAGGACCTAGTTCTTCCCACGCAGCTGCAAAGTTAGGCTTAACTGCTTTCTGTACATGGTCCGCCACAGTGACTTCTAGGTCTTCAAGCTGTGGTTGTTTTTTTTCAATGCTTTATTACAACCATATTTACACAGAAATTCAATATCAAACAGAATTTCAATTTTACAGCATACATTAAATAAAGCAGATATAAAATACCAATGAGCATAACACTTTAATTTAACAGACTGCCTTGATTTTCAACACATAAACAACATACCTTGGGAGTTTACAGTTTTTCAAAGTTTCAAATATCAAAATAAAACAAAATCTTCTTCTTATTAGCTCATTAACTCCCATTTAAGAGCCAACTGCATTGACTTGGGATAATATGTGTAGCAAAAAAAATCAAAATTGCTAGATTTGGAAATACTAAAAGTTGGATTTTATTTTAGTACTGCAGCAATCACATCTTTATATTTGGAATCCATGCCTTTGCATACTTTATTCCCAGAAGTTATTGTTTTACATCAGTAACTTTCTTCTACAATTTGAAAAGTTGTCCAATTTCCTGCTGAATTTCCTGTTCCCATATAGTGACAGCAAGCAATTTATTAGATGAATTTTGAGCACATTGTTCCAACATTTTCTTAATGGTAGTTTGCAATCTATTTTTCTATAATACATTTTCCCCCATGATGTGGTTATCTTGCCAATCCACTGGAAAGGTGAGCAATGTGGCATAGTCTTCACAACTAGTGGATTCCCATCCTAAACAAAGAGAACAAACCTTTCTTCTTTTCAGGACATTGAACAACAAGAAGTTTCTTCAATATTTTGGCATCCATTGAGTTACACTGTTAGAAAAGACCCTGCCTCTGAATGTTAGGTACCTATGCTCACACAACTATTCTGGTAAGCAGAACTGTTCAGAATGAGGTGACTGCCACCTCCATCTTCCTTATCCACATCAATCTCTTCACCATGGTTACTGTTGTCATTATCATCATTATACCCTTTGTCATCACCAGAAGAGAGAACAGCATTTCACTTATCATCTGCACATAAAACTTGGCATTTAGCTTGCCTTTATAACTTTCTTTCTTGCTAGTTTTCTCTCAACAGATAAGCTGTCATACTAGCACTGATTATATTATGTGCACATACAGTACGTTGGGTGTTTACATTTGAAGGTAACTGGTGGTGGATGAATATAATAGATAGAGCATTCACAGGTTGTCAACTGCAATTTTACACCAGAATAATATCATTTAAATAATAAAAAAAAGCAATGGACTTTTGTTAATAAATTGAGAAAAAAGGTGGTCAAGGACAGGTTTTATTTTTATCTTTTCTCAACAATCATCAAACTTAGCAAGAAATCCACTTTACAGCTCAAAAGTCCTAATTCATAGCAACTAGTTCAAATGAATTTTATATAATCCTGAAATTTTCTGCATGTGGCATATCCTGAAACCATCTTTAGCAATGCAGTTGACTCAGTAAATTAAGATTAAAACTTGAGTAACAACCTATTCAGACACAAAGACAAACAAAGTTTAAAATAAAAGTATAATTTATAAAAATAAAAAAAAGAAGAAAGTGCTAAAATAGAGAGAAAAGGACAGTGAAAACTAGATGAATCCTGTAGAGGAAAAAACCAAATCCTACCACATATTCATCTTCATAGCCTTCTTCATCTGTCTCTCCAGCATTAGGATCACAGTCCTTCACTAGATACTTCATGGTATTGCTAAAAGTACCAACAACTGTAAAACAGATACAATGAAATGAAATTAAACAGTCATTACTATATAAGAATTATGATATAGGTATTAACATTTGTTCTCATCTTTATAGTGATCATACACAAAATCATTATAAATGTTAACACTACGAAAATTCCCATACTCATCAGTTACACCTAGATTTTACAAAACACAGTAAATCAAATTAGGAATCTTTATTAAAAGTAAGAGGTTTTGGATCTGCAAGTATTAATTTACAAAACACAAGTTTTACTTCAATTTCCAACAGATAAGGTATACAAAACATGAATACACACTGACAGCAACACAACCACATACTGTGTATACAAAACATGAATGCACACTGACAGCAACACAACCACATCCTGTGTATATAAAACATGAATACACACTGACAGCAATACAACCACATCCTGTGTACATAAAACATGAATACACATTGACAGCAACACAACCACATCCTGTGTATATAAAACATAAATACACACTTGACAGCAACACATTCACATCCTGTGTATATAAAACATGAATACATACTGATAACGACACAATCACATATAAAATAAGAATACACACTGACAGCAACTCAACCACATCCCGTGTATATAGTGTGTGAACAGGTAGATGACATTAAGTGTATATGGAAACCTCTACTGTTCAAAGAAAGCATTAAGGAAAGCTTTAACTCGATGAACACCGGCTACTAACTTTCTGAGTAGCCAATGCAAGTCTTGCTATATCTCATTCCAACAATAAAACTAGTGGATGATATTGTTTCAAACTTCATAAGAACTTTCATAAATGCGTGTAGTTTAAGAAACAGAAAGCCTATTAATTTCGATAAATTTAGTTATTTTGCATTATGATCTTTAATATCTTGGTAAAGTACATTAGGAAATGGTATTATAAGAAATGATTACGAAATTTATATTTGTTCCAGATTTGAACTTATTACTTTTTATGTTTTAGTACATTACTTTGAAATCCCCCAAAAAATTGTATTGTCCATAAAATGCAAATTTTATCTATTTTTAATTTTTTAATAACCACATACTCTCCTTATGGTTTCAAGTAATATACAAGACCCAAAAATAATATTTGTAAATAAACCTAAACAATAAATGAGTATTTTTATTTTTAACTAGGATTTCATGTTTATATATGTACATAAAAACATTTTAATTTTGTTTCATAAATATATTTTTATTTCAAGTTTATGTTTCATTGCAGCCGTACTTTTGTTTATTGTGCTGACTAAACCGCGGGGTTAGCAGTGTGAACTTTGTACGTGTTCCGTAAACTATCTCACCCCTGTTGGTGGTCACTCTCGTTCACACCAGCGTGGGCACATTTCAACATTACTGTAAATATGATAGTAAGAAAGCTTTTCAGTACTTGAATATCATTTCTTTGAACTTTCAAACAAGTTTATTTCAATATATGTCCATGTATGTTGTTTCACTATAAGTTCTATAAGTTCTCAACAGAAATCTATACTACTTTGTACTGCAAATAAAGACATAAGTATGTTTAAACCTTTTTTAAACACTAAATTTCACTAGCTTGTTTTGGAATAATCAGGTGGCCAGCTTAGAATATAAGTCTATAACAGCTCAAAAGATCGGTAATGATAATATATCATTAAGCAACAGTGTAGTAGAGGTTGACAATAGTTGAATGAGTAAAAAAATAAAAATAATTGTACATCTGTATATTTACTAATCCTTTTCTGATCAGTGAGTACCTTTCAGGTGTGAGGGCACATGTGCATATCAATGTTTTATTCAAAAATATTTTAGAAGTTAACATTTTCATAATCTGAAAATGCATTTCTGATAGATACTCACCTCCAGAAATAGAAGTGATATTTTGCTCCAGCTTCTGCCTGAGACTTGAGTGCTACTGGTCTCGAGTTAACTCCCACCTAAATTTACATGTGCTAAGGTGAACTGTAATGGTGCATGATGAAATCTTGCAAAAACAGCCCTCCACCAATAGCACGGCAACACAACCTCCATGCTTAGTAATTCACTCTATGCATTTGCACTTGTGGTAATTGCACTTTTAGATGAGGTTAAAAAAAAAGTACACCGGAAAAGGGGAGGATGCATGGGAATGTGTGTGGAAGTGAGTATTTATTGGAAATACATTTCCGATTAGGAAAATGTTAACTTTTGAGACAATATTTTACCTTCACACCAATGTTCAGCAAGCCAACATGTGTAATGTGATTAGGTCGTGATCAGTCCATAAGATGTGTGCTAACCTCGACTCTATTGGACAGAGTCTGGCTGCAGGAAGAGAGCACATTAACCATGTGAGGGATGACCTGTACTACACCATACTTCATGTCATATTGTGTTAAGTCCAAACAATGAGGATTTTTTACAGTCCACCAACCCAGCAGTTAGAAACTTGTAAGTGACAAGGGTCTTTCTTGCTCCACTTGAAGAAAAGGGGGTAAGGGGTGAGAGAATTCACATTGGGGAGACCAAGAGATGTGCCTAGATCCCCATTGGAACACCAGTTAGAAAAGTCTTTTATTGAAGACAGTGCAAATGGTCTTGCAGAACACCCCTCTCGTAGTGGGTACTGGTAAAGCCAGGGTGGATGGGCTGAATACTTTCTGTTTATGGTGGCTTGATGCAGATTTTGGGAAATAAGCATAGCCTGGCAGGCAACACCAGTCACCTGGTGGGATCTGATTCAATCGAAAGGGATAGAAATTAAAGGGAAATATACTTAAATATTTCAAAGAAATTGGGTCAACTGAAATATGGCAGCCAGTGTAAGTTGAAATCTTGCAGGAGACAAAACAGCTAGATGGTGATGATAATGAGCAAAGAACATGCCAACCTGGAGGATCACGTCTGAGGACCATGAAAATGAGAAGCTAGAGAATGAGAAAAATGATGAACTGGTTGCAAAGAAACACAAAATAGCCTGCAAGCATCCACACAGGGAAGAATATACCAAATGAAGGAGTTGACGGACACATGCAGTAAGTGTAGAAAGAGAAAAATCCTAGTGTGGGAACAGATTATGGTAGGAACCCCGAAAAGGAGATGTCCATGATAAACAACAACAAATAACCCAACTAAGACAAACAACTGATCCAATTCTGAATTATCTAAGCAAATAAATACCAGTTCAGGTAGAGAAATATATAAATACAGTGAAAGAAGGTGAGAGAAGCATCCATAACATACACATCCGATTGACAGTGACCACAGGCAAGGAGGAGGAGGAAATACATTTTGAGAGAAAGGTGGTACAAAGAACAAGAAGCCAGTGGCTTGAATGGGGCATGTACAATAACATGCAAAATCACATTAAGGACCCAGTCAGACATGTTGAGAACTGGGCAAGAAGGTCGTGAAGAAGGAAGTAGCAGAACAGAGTGGACAGGACAGAGGAAGAAAACACCCTGTAGTACCAAGAAAGGTGAAATTTAGTGTAAAATGCCACCTGATAACCAGCAATAGTGGATACTAATAAACCATGGTCAAACAGCCAAATAAAAAAGGCAGAAAGGAGGTTTATAGTAGTGCAACCAGTAGGAAAAAAGTAGTAAGTGAATCAACAATGAAAGGCCCACCATTTTTGTTGACAGACAGACAAAGTGGAAGGGTGATAGGAATGTGACAAGAAGAAGGCTACATGAATGGAGAATCCAGCCCAACAGGAAATGGACCAGATAAATCCCACAAATGAAAACTGAGGAACGACATTCCCTGAAAAGAAAAAGGAACATACGAGATCAAAGCAAGAGTGAGGGGACATTGGGTATGGGAAAGGAAAGTTTAAATGCCAGGTAAGAAGCAGAAACACCAAGATTGAGTTGGCCAAAGAGGTGCCACAGTAGGAGTTAAGGAGGAATGTCATGTATCAAAGTGAAGACCTAATAAAGGAGTTTAAGAGAACAAGCATATAGAAAAAGTGAACCAGTTTTGGTTGAGAGATTCAACAACCAGAGCTGAAGATTGAAGAACAGGGGACCAGAAAAGATAAACTTTGAAGTCGAGAGGGATGAAAAAGGCATCTATAAGGGACATGCCCAACCAAGAGAAAACCCAAAGAGAGATATGGGTAGAACACAATCTAGCTGAGAGGAGTGGTCTGTTACAAGGTTTATAGCTCTTGGCAAATGACAGACAACAATACAAACCCTAGGTGAATGATTCCAGAAGAGTAAGTCCAGAAGTTATATTGTCATCCAGAGATGCACCTCAACCTGAAAAGGAAGCATCAGTAAAAAAAGAGAGATCCAGCTGGTTAACAGAAAGGAAATGCCAAAAGTAGTGTAGGCACAGTCCAACCACCATCACAATTCTTTGAGTATAGAAGGGGAGGTTCATAGTTGAAAAAGAATGGAACCCAAGAAAGAATCCATTGAATCCACAAGGTCCACTGGAGGAGATATGTGTGCACACTTCAAAAGAATGAGGGGTGTCAGGGAAGCTAGAGTCCCCAAAACTCAAACAACCCCTTGTACAAGGTGAGAGTAAGAAGCATAAATCTTGGTGACTAATTTCCTACTTCACAGATGAACAGGAAAAGGAACATGTGAGATCAAAGCAAGAGTAAGGGGACACTGGGTATAGGAAAGGTAAATTTAAATGCCAGGTGAAGAAGCAGAAACACCAAGGTTGTGTTAGCCAAAGAGGCAACAGATGAAGAAAATGACCAAATATTGAATGCACATCAGAAAAGACACCCCATTGATTAGCCTCCTGCAAAAAAAATGGAAGTGTGAGAAGAGAATATGTCCTGAGAATGGGCCAATATAAGCCAATCATCCAAAAAGGAATGATAGCCCTGGACAGTGAAGATGGTGAGCGAAGACCCTCTCAATACAAATGAGTACATATGAGGCCAACGTTATGTCGAAGGGAAGAAAAAAGGAGCTAAAAGATGCAAATCTGATGGATGGAATCTAGAAACATCTGTAAAATGGGGTAATTGGGTGTCCAATACATTGACCATGGCTAAAAGCAGACCAGGTGAATAAGACCACAGACATGGTCAGAGAGAGGAGAAAAGAAAATGGAAAGAGGTGCAAAGAAGTGGGGAAAGAGACTGTGGGAGAGAACATTAATAATGCTTGTTGACAGAAATTGAGACCAATGGTTGGTGAAGAGGAAGAGATGGGTACCCATAGGGCATAACATGACAAGATAGCCACTGCCAAGAAAAGTGATGAACTACACATCAGGTAGTGGGAGGAAACCTGGAACGGGTAGGATCAGACTGATCCAGATGAGGATCAGAATTCAAAGGGCAAGGTTAAGAAAGAAGAAAAACCTGGAAGAATAATGAGGACTGAAGGCATGTAATGTTAGTCCAGGTCTCCACTGAGAAATTAAAACCATAGAAGACTGCCGGGTGAAGAAAGGGAGCCTGATGAAGACTGTGTACAAAAGGAGGTTTGTTTTTAATTTTGTGCAAAGCTACATGAGGGCTATCTGTGCTAGCCCTCCCTAATTTAGCAGTGTAAGACTAGAGGAATGGTAGCTAGTCATCACCACCCACCACCAACTCTTGGGCTACTCTTTTACCAACAAATAGTGGGATTGACCATCACATTATAATACCCCCATGGTTGAAAGGGCAAGCATGTTTGGTGTCATGGGGAATCAAACCCATGACCCTCAGATTGCCAGTTGAACGCCCTAACCACCTGGCCATGCCGGCCCACAAAAGGAGGAGGAAAGTGTACAGGAAAGAGGAACATAACTTCACCCAACAGTAGGGGAAATAAGTAAAGAGGAACAGAGAAGAAGAAGCGGAACAGGTTAAGCTAGCAAAGAGAAGATAATGAAATTTGACAGGAAACATCTCTGAAGCATGAAGAAGTACCTTGGATACAAGGTGGAGGGAGGAGAAGGAATATAGGAGGGTCATGATAAAAAGTTGAAGACAAGAAAATGGGGAACCAGAGAGTGAAAGAGAAGGCAGGAAGCCAATCCACAAGCAGGCCAAATAGACAGGGAATATAGAGAGGAAAGGAAGATTGTCTGTAAGTCAGGACAAAAGAGTCAGAAACACACAAGGAACAAGGCACATTCTTTAAATGGTAAGGTACTCAAACCAATAAGATTAAATTCGTAGTCCAATAGGTCATCCACAACTGAAGAGAAAGAACATCAACTGAAGGAATGGGAGTAGGAGGCCTAGTAAACGTGGTAATCCATATATTTAACAAAGAATGCAACATCCCAAACAGTTAACAAGCCTGCAGAAGCTATAGTATAAAAAAGGTTTGCGTATGTAACATTTTCATTCACACAGGACAAAGTAGAAGTCACCGTCATTTGAGAATTCAAAACAATAGTCAATGTAAAACAAAAAACAGAGTTTCATTAACAAACACAAATCTCATCAACTTTAACTTAGATGAGAAACTGGAACATTGTTAAATATAATGTCAAGGAAAAGAATGAAGTTGTCATGAATACAAGTGCATATGGGGAGTCACTGCACATGGAATTTGTGTCGTCCTCCTATTGGTGGAGGGCTATTGTTGCATGATGATGTCATCATGCACCAGCTCAGTTCACATCAAACACATGAATTTAGGTGAGAGTTGGCTCAAGACTAGTGGCATACAAATTTCATAAGCAGACACATGAGGGATATAGCATTTGTGTGTCTTAAGGTGAGTTATCAAAATTATCATTTAATCAATATATAATACTTATTTAATGCAATTCACAAGGAAAAATAAAAAAAATATGTTGTCAATCTCAAAATAGGTTTACACTTACAGGAGAAACTATCATCCTTCTAGAATATAATAAATCATGCTCTTTTTAAGAAAGAAATGTTTTTAAACATTTATTCTTTTTCCCAGTAACAGATATTTTTTAACTTGAGTTTTTCCTACACTCTTCATATTAAACTCAACATTTTGAGCCATTTATCAACATACAAGAATACGTACTGTTCATCATACACTAAGAGAGAGACACTCTCCAAAATACATCTTAACATAACACTTATGCCGCCAATCTCGAGTTACTTACCCATTATGGCATCATCTGGTAACCTGAGGCAGGTATAGGTTGTACCTGTTACATTGTATGGAAGTTTGGAGCAAGGAATGTTACATACCAGCTCAAACCCTTCTGAAGGCTCCACTTCAACTTGGACATTCTCAAGGATTTGGTCATTCAGTGTATTGGTACAGTTAAACTAGAAATATATCATACTTTAAAACATAATTAGATTCTTTCTGTATTGTAGTCACAAATACAATTCATTCTAATATTAATATAATACAGCTGAATCATAAGCTTTCACACACTTTTAGAGAACAGATAAAGTGCTATAACTTACTAAACAATTTCTAGATACATTTATAAATCTTTCTTTGAGAATATAACAACTAGAAACCAAAGTCTGTTAGTGGTATGACAAGTAGAAGGACTGCTGTATACACAATCAGAAGCAAGAAAGTTGTACTGGTAGGATAAGCAGAGAACAACCATTTAAAATATTATAAGCAGGGACCCATTCATAAATAGTGGTATAACAAGTAGACAAACATCTACATAAATCATTAGAAGCAAGGAACTGTTTGTGATATTACAATCATAAGGACAACTAGTTAAATCTATGAGCCAAATTCCATGGTAACACGGTCTTCACTGCCTGAAACATCACACAAAATAAACTAGAAAAAGTTTTCAGTCAGATATCTTCTATCCTAGTTAAATCACTATAAACACAGAATTTCTTATAAAGGGTGTAACAAGTATGACTACTACTTCAATCATCAGAAGCAGAGAACTGTTGGTGGTATGATAAGCAGAAGGATAACTATAAAAATCATTAGAAGCAGAGACTTGTTAGTGATATAACACAAAGAACTGATACTTAAATCACTAAATATAAATACTTATTAACGGTATTGCAAGCACAATGGTTACTATTTACAATCATGAAAAAAGTGGTTTAAGAAACCAATGAAAATGGTAATACCGAAATTATATTTGAGCCTGAAAGTAATGAAAATATTAGACAAGTCATTAACATGTGAAACAAATGAAATATTGTGATGACCATTTGTCACAAACTCTTTCCATACAGACATCCTTTTCTGTACAGGTCATGAGATTTTTCTTTTGAAAATTTAATTAAACTATTTTATTATCTTGGTATACAAATAAACTTGGCATAAAAATGTAGTTAAAAAAATTAAATTTTAATATTATATAAGTTTAAGTTGTTAATTTTTTAAGGAAATATTTAAAAGATCCTCAATCAAATCCAAATATGATAATTGTGACATTTGCTCTCTAGGAAACCCCTCTTCTCTAATTCATTTACCATCCTTCCAAAAAGTACGTAATTTAACGTGAAATACTCATTATAATATTTTTATTCCCCTTACTGTACTTACTGAATGCTTGCAAAATTTTGTGAAGATACACAGAATGTATGAAGAAGTTATAGTATGGTAACTATAAAAGTCACTATGGGCTCACAAACTCGGCCAAGCCGAGGGAATATTGTGACCAACTGATAAGTCATTATGAAAGGAAATTAAAGAAACTACTGTGATGAACTGATAAGTCATTATCATGTAAAAGTGAGGGAATACTGAGATTAACTGATAAGTCATTATCATGTAAAAGTGAGAGGAACAGTGTTTCATCTCTAACAAAGAGCTTACAACTGTCCAATTGCAAGTTTAGTTCACCTAAAACTGTAAGCTGTAAATCTATAGAAAACTAACAGGTGGAGAACTAGTGGTCCATACATATATGAAATTGTGTATTCATTATTATGTACTGTTTTACATGGTATCATTAGGGATTAAATACTTAAAACACAGCAAACAATCTTCAAGTGTTTTTATACTTGTTTCATAAAAGTTCTTTGGCAGTTGCCAGTTTTCTGTATTGGAAGTTTAGGTAACATTTGAAGAGAAACAAGGTTGTGTGGCAGTTGCCAGTTTTCTGTATTGGAAGTTTAGGTAACACTTGAAGAGAAACAAGGTTGTTTGGCAGTTGCCAGTTTTCTGTATTGGAAGTTTAGGTAACACTTGAAGAGAAACAAGGTTGTTTGGCAGTTGCCAGTTTTCTGTATTGGAAGTTTAGGTAACACTTGAAGAGAAACAAGGTTGTTTGACAGTTGCCAGTTCTCTGTATTGGAAGTTTAGGTAACACTTGAAGAGAAACAAGGTTGTTTGGCAGTTGCCAGTTTTCTGTATTGGAAGCTTACATAATACTTGAAAATAAACAAGGCTGTTTGTAACTTAAATTATTCTTCCTTCTTAATTTGCAAAGAATTAAACATTTTGAGCCATAACAATACCATGTAAAACAGTACATGATGAATACACAATTACAGAATTAATGATACACCCTTGTGACTCAAGTGTTAGTTGTATGAGTTATATCCTAGCTAGAATATTACCATTCCATAAGTATTAACAACTGAGTGACAAACATGTGACAAATATATAACAAACACTAACCAACAGTGCTCATAATCGGCTGCATAATCATTCTTTGAAATTACTTGCAATAGTGCACTAATATTACTTTAAAATTTTCTTTCATTTATCCAAACATTCTAAGGGATATAAATCCAATGCACACGTACAAACAATACAGACATAACAGCATTAATTATGTTTATCATGCCTGGTGTGAACTAGACTTGTCTTCATATAGAGGCATATCTAATTTGTAAAGAATGTATGGGTCATTTGATGTTTTAATGTGGCGTATGATGCAATCTATTTATAAATAATGTGACTAAGGTGGAAAAGATAAATATAACTTGAGTGTAAATAAATTTTATTAAGTTTGATAAATATCTATCAAGTTAAGTGTACAGATTTAACCAAATCTAAGTAAGAGCTGTAACAGTACTTCATATTTCAAAGACCAAGTTTACCTGAAGAACTATGTGATTAGGGAATATGTGTTTGATACAATGTACTACATATTCTGTTTCTGATTCTGTCAGTTCCACAGGCTGCGAGGATTTAAAGAGAGGACCAAGACCAATTACAGCCAATTCTGCTACTGAAGCCAGTTGCTCTAAAGAAAAGAAATTCAAGAAAACATTTATTGTTTTCAAACTTTGCATACTAAAATACCAATTTTGTCCATAATGTTCATGAATTAAAAACTGAGGTTTGGAAAAACATTCTGTACAAATCTACAAACTATCGCTATAGCAACCACTTGGGTGCTAAAAACAGCCATCATGTTTTTATCTTATGTTGTCACAGTAACAATTTTACTTCAATCTTGTGAAGCCTGATACAAACTTTCTAAATAGTACGTAGTTTCTATGTGAAAAAGAATTCAAAAATTATGATTTAGTATTGGTATCATATCTCAGGCTGCTAAGTTTTCAAACTTTTGTGGTGAAACACATATTTGAAAATGCATCCCTTTGTCTTAGACTTTCTATTTTTTTTATTATACATCAGAAAGTTCCATTTTGTATTTTCCATTAGTTTTAATAACCACTAATATGACACTTTTCATACGTTATTCTACCAACTGAAGCAGAATAATTTCTGCATAAACCATATGAACACAATATGACTTGCAAACACTTACCATTGAACAATGACCTCATTTTTCCAAATGGTAATACCATTACCTTTATCAGGTGTGATATCATGATACTTTCTAAAGTTCTAGTAGAGAACGATCATTTTAGTTCTGATAATTATGGTTTGTTTTCAACAGCTATTTTTTTTATGTATTGTTTGAATACTAAACCTAAATATCCTTACATTTTGTATTGTAATAAAATATTCCTATAGCTTTCAAATGAAAGTAACAAAAACATTATCAAGAACAACAACATCATCAGAGATTATTTAAAAATTCCCAGGCCTCTAGTTAGTTAAGAAGTATTTCAAAATTTTGTCTTGAGGTGTTTTGTTTATTGTGAGTGTGCCCAACTTCCCCATTTTGTAAAACATAACTCATTTTTACACAGTGTTATTGTAAGTTACATTACAGAGTGTTAAAGCTTACAACTTTCCCTTTCTTATGATTATTGATTTAGGTTGAAAACAATCTGAAGTTCTTAAGACCCCATCTTTAAATTTAACATAAAATAACACTACAAAAATCTTAACGTTAAAACTAGCACTCATAAGAATCTCATTAACATCAAAATTAGCACTCACAAGAATCTCATTAACATCAAAATTAGCACTCACAAGAATCTCATTAACATTAAAATTAGCACTCATAAGAATCTTGATAGCATTAAAATTAGCACTCAAGAATCTTGTTAACATTAAAAGTAGCACTTACAAGAATCTCACTAACATTAAAAGTAGCACTTACAAGAATCTCATTAACATTAAAACTAGCAATAATGAGAACATGGTTAGTGTTAAAACTAGCAATAATGAGAACACGGTTAGTGTTAAAACTAGCAATCACAAGAACATGGTTAACATTAAAACTAGCAATCACAAGAACATGGTTAACATTAAAACTAGCAATCACAAGAATCTCGTTAACATTAAAACTAGCACTCACAAAAATCTAGCTAACATTAAAACTAGCAATAATGAGAACATGGTTAGTGTTAAAACTAGCAATAATGAGAACATGGTTAGTGTTAAAACTAGCAATCACAAGAACATGGTTAACATTAAAACTAGCAATCACAAGAACATGGTTAACATTAAAACTAGCAATCACAAGAACATGGTTAACATTAAAAACTAGCACACATGAGAACATGGTTAACATTAATAAAACACTCAGAAAAATATGGTTAATATTAAAACTAACTCTCATAAAAAGATGGTTTAAATTAAAACAAGTTAAAATTAGCACTCACAAAATAAGTATAACATTAAACTACACTAAGATGAACAGAGTTTACATTAAAACCAGCACTTGGAAGGACAAGGTTAACGTTAAAACTAACATTTATGAGAATATGTTAATGTTCAAACACTCATGAGGGCATGGTTAACAATAAAATTAGCACTCACAAAAACATTACTAATATGTCAGTTTATAATACATTTTTATCAATAACTTCTAACCAAACTAACACTATCTTAAATGTTTCAGCTGCAAATCTATTGCCATCTTCAGGTGTGTAAATGCAAGAAATACTATTAGTGAAAATCAGACATGGGATCGTCAGGACAAGAAGCAGAAGTGGCACTCCAGTGGACTTAAGTGTGCTTGTCTAATACAGTTAACTCCTGCTGTTCTGTTAACTTCACTTTAGTTCTTAACTTGATGTATGTGGAAAGATCTTGTAAGTATAATGTTATTCAAGCGTGACAATGGGTATATTGATCTGGTATTTAATGCTTTCTTCTCTGAAATGAATAACTGCTGAATTGTCAGTGTTTAAGACTTATATGCCATTCTCTATGTGTTCTTATTCTAACTGTTTTGTCACATTAACAAGGAATTCTGTAGGTTACCTTTCTCTATACTGATGAATCTTGAAGGGATTTTGGGTTACCAGTTAGAATCTTAGATCTTATGGCTTATAAAATCTGACCTAGTCTCATATTTTCTGAAGATTCTCCAGATATACTCTGACAAAACATTCAGGTGAGGTTAGGTGACTGTGGTTTCTCTGTTACTTAACCATTCTGTTTCTGATTAATATTCAAAATACTAATTTTTAATGGTTAGCTATTTTTCATTAATGTTCTTATGATACGAGTAACTTTTTTTTCTTCTTCTGTGCTTCAAGTTTTATGCATCCTCAAGTTAGAACAAGTGATACCTCAGCATGGAGACTACATTTTTACCATTAGTTACCATAAAATTCATAAACACAAGACAGTTTTCAAAACTTACAATACTCTAGATCCCAAATAGCACACAGAAAGACCTTCAAGATTCATTAAAACAAAAAACATTTAGCAAGTTTGAAGTTATGCGTGCTAAAGACAGAGAGTATGAGTCATGGGGTGTTACCTGCTTTGTGAATTTTAGGAAGACCGTATAAAATACTATGATGGGAGCTTGTCAGTTACAATAAAGTAGCAACATTTTCAGATTTCTTCATCACATTGGATGTTAAGAGAGAAGAAAAATCTAATCTGATGCTTTCCATGTGAATATTGCACTGAATTACATTAGCAAAACTATAAGTCAAAGTAAAAATCCAAGAATAACAATACCACACCAGATGGTTGCATTACAAGCCAGAGAAGAAAGAATACACTAAATACAGTGTCAAGAATCATAGATGCAAAACAAAATTAACAAAGCCTTCCAGATTCACTTAGTTAAGCATATCAAACATTGAAGTTAGCAGGAGTTGGTCACCACCACTGAAAACATTTAAACTGATTGTTATTAAAGAGAACTCTCACCTTTGCTTCCTAAAGTCCTTGAACTGAATCTCAATAATAGTCCTTTGCAGTAAACACCTGAAGATTGCAGCAAATTAGCAGCCAAGTTGTAGCAATAACATAATGTGTTAAAGTTAATAAAATTTTAAACGAGTTACATTATTACGATAAAAAAAAACAAATTGGTTATAAAACAACAGCCAAAGTTATCCTTCGTCAGTAAACAGTTGCATAAAATATTCAGAAAGTTTACAATTTTACAAAACCAAACCATAAACAGGTTGTTAACAGTATTACCTGCAAAGATATCTTGTCGTGATGCAGCAATTTTTTCTTTTGTCTTCCCAACTTGCATAATATCTGCATTAAAATCATTCATACTTTAAAAAATGAACACCAAAAAATTCAGCTACAGCATGATAAAACAAACAAATGATTCAAATTACTGTAATGGAAAAATCTTCTGTTTTTAAAGCTTTGAACAGATAAATGTAGCTTAGCTAACTAACCACACAATTATTTTTCCTTTACAGTTATTCTAACCAGATTTTTGTATCCCCACACTTATCATATAGGAAAGCATAACTAATGTAATAACTTATTACAGTGTTAATGACACTGGACTGAATCTTTGTTCACACACTCACAGTCTTTTATTTTGTTGCTTAATATTAAACTTTGCCAAAAGTTGCTTAATCACATTTCCAATATGAGGAAATGTTTAAAGGATGAAAATAATTAAAACCATCTGAGAAAAATGTTACAAAAAAAAATAGCTCAAGAGCAATTTCTAAACTTCTTTTGTTTATGTGCCAATAAAATACACTCTGCTTGGCTCAAGCTTAACAAGCTAACATTGGCCTGTTGACATTTTTTCAATGTTTTAGGTGTCTCAATCATTTACTGTTCCATGCTAATTTTGTTTCACACTTAGAGCAGCAAAGATAAAAATATTCTCTCATTTAATGTCATTAAGCCTAATTTTATGACAATACACAATAGGAGGAAAAATTCTTCCTTTAAAACTTGTTCACTAAGATTAAATAAAAGACACCTTGTACAACAAACTGAAAGCTTCACATAACTAAAATACAGGGTTAATAGAAAATAACATCATCAAAATAGGCCACAAAAATGATATCTTCCACATACAGGGAATAAACAAAAATATAAATAGACCTAAAAAACATGAAACAATACCATTTAAATAAAAGAAAACAATGAGACAATTCTCTTTCATTTTAAATGGTATTGTTGTAGATAATGTTGCTTCACACAATTTTTTTTTATCTAAACTTTAACTGTGTTTAATTTTATTGAGAATTAAATGTGGCCACCAACAAACCTCTATTTTCAAAATTTTACACACTACCGAAAATATTTTATAAGATACAACATCATATTTATTAACATACCTAGTTTCTTTTCTTCACTGATAAATTGAGTAGATAGAGGTACTGTCTTGATATCAAATGGTGCCTCTGATGGCTCCAATGTGTAGTGATGAAGAGCTTTTTCTAGACCCACTATAGACACTTGTAAACCTGTATATGAACACATAAAGCTAGCTGCCCAGACCATTTTTTTTAATTCATACTATACTGCATCTGTTTATACAACAGTTTACTTCTAAGTTTCTGTGTAAAATACTTACACAAGTAAACTGTTTGGGTTAGGTGTTTTTCAAAACATTAGTATATTCTGAGGCACAGTAGTTCCAGTTTAAACAACCTAAGCCAAAAATTAGAAATCTTATAACACTGACCTAGATTTGAATTTTCTAAATCTATAAATTAAAACTCTGATTGTGCAACCAAATGACAAATATGTTAACAATATCATGGCTGAGTTTATGGTATTAAACTTCAGGCCCTGAAATTAAAACCATGTTTAATCTTGGAACTATGAGTATTTTTGTACTAAAGTTGTCAAAACTGAATACATAGGTCTGTGAATTGAAACTTCATAAAAGTTGTTTTGGTTTTAATAATGGATTTTCTATAATTCAGCTACATAGAATTTGAAAATAATATTTTTTTTTGCTATTACGTAAGGATTTTTTACAAATCAGGAAGAAAAAAAACAACTCTTACTTAAATCAAATTATTATTTCGTTTACCACAATGAATATTTTTTATTATTATGTTTGTTAACAAAAATACAAAAAACTGAAGAAAAGGGAAGAACATTGATGCCAAACAATTATACATCCTCATTCATCCCAATTTTTTTCATGAAATCTACATCTTTTAGTATCAAAACTACATATTGTGATCTTTCGTTTATGTATTGCATCTGGAGCATCACGTTTCAATGACCAGCAGTAATCAGCTGTCATGCTGATGTTCCACCATCCCTGATGCCTCCTCTCCATTTCCCTGATGTCTTGATGAAACTTTTCCCCCTCGTCCTACACTGACTGCACCAAGATTTTTAGTGAAATAGTCAATATGTGAGTGTAAGAAATGAACTTTCAAGCTCATATTACAACCCAACTCTGAATTGATTGAGTATGTTATTGACAATATTTCGAAATTAGGATCCTTGTTGTTTCCTAAAAATTTTTCAATAACATCTTTAAAGGTAACCCACGCTTCTTTTTCACTTTCCTCATTGTCCTTTCGAACTGTTCATCTGAAGTCAATTTCCTAATCTGAGGCCCAACAAAAATCCCTTCTTACTTGAAACAGTCGATATTTGTCCAAGGCCTTCGCAAACTGCTTCATAAAGCTCAGTTTTATGTGAAGTGGAGGTAATAGGACTTTCTTTGTGTCAACCAAATTTTCACATTCAATGTTTTTGATCCTGGTATCAGGCTGACTCTGCACGGCCATTGCTTCTTTATCCAGTGCTGATTTCATTCTCTGCTGTCCCATTCACATACAAAAAAAATTGAAACTTTATATAACTGGATTGTTGACCCAACAACATACAAAGGAACTTTTCAGTCTCCACAAAGTAGCCAATTATGTTCTTTGTATTTGACCTTATTAAGAAGAAATTCGAGATTTTCATGTTTCCTTCAAGTGAACCAAATGAGCAATTGGAACAGATACATACATGTTACCATTGTGAAGAAAAACACCTTTTAGACTTCTTTTGGAGGAATCAATAAACAATCACCACTGACTTGGTTCATAAACTGTAGCTCCTAGCATTGGTATTAATTCAGCAATATTATTGCAATAAACCAGTGAACCTTCTTGCCAAAAGTATGTTATAAACTCTTTCTTATGATTTCTGTATCAGTAATATGATGTCCCTGGAGAAAGTAAGTTCTTAGCTTAAGTTTGGACCCCAAAATATCTGATGAATCCTTTGGAAGGCCCAATCTCTCACCAAATCATTAACTTCACCTTGTGTGAAAAGTTGTGGTTCACGAGATTTTTCAAGTTGAAAACAATCCCTATCTTCATTTCTATTGTCATCAGATTGAGAATCAGAAGAAACTGTATCAAGAGTCTCTGGTGTAGTAGGTACAGGTTTATCAGGTCCATAAGCAACAGGTATTAACAGATTGAAAGTTTGGATAAGAAATTTCTTTTCTATTTCAAGTGTTGTAGCCTTGCATGTTACATGAGCAAAAATAGCAGTCATATCAATGGTTCCTAGGCTCATGCCAGACCATTGGAATTCCAAAAGGCAAAGACTTTTTCTTACCTTTAGTCCATTGTCTCAACTGTTCGATACAAATGATGCAAACATTTTTTATCAGTTGTACCATTTTCAACCATTTATTTCTTCATAAAGCATGCATTGTTTTCATTGTTATAGAGTAATTTCTAAATTTTAATAACTTACAAAAAAGTTCCTATTCAGGAAACCAAGAAAACATACCCATAAATAAATTATTAAAAATGCTAGGCCATATACAATTACTTAGTCCAATAAAACAATAATCATCAAAAATTAGATAACACTAACTTTACCACACACTTCTACAAAATAATCAGGTAATATTTACATTTAAACATTAATAACGCTGCCCAGAGAATAACCAAACTTACTATTCAAAATATATTGTGAGCTAAAAGCTCTTTGCTTTTGCATGAGAACTTTCAAGTAGTAAGTTGCCTGTCTCGAACTTCATCATCTGTATCAAGTAGCGATCGCTGCAGCAGCACCAAAACATTGGGTAAAAGTTCTTCACAATAAGCTCCAAACTTGGCAAGAGAGCTCACAGCCGCTAGAAGCCAATCATAAAAAAAAAGAGCATGATAATCAACTAATCATGATATTAGGCCTTTACTTAAGGAGTAGGCTTTTTTTCTGAGAAAGTTAGGTCAAACAATGTAAGTTATTCTTGATTAGAAAAAATTCAAATGAACAACTTTTAATTGTATTAAAGTGTCAGTTTTAAAACTAGTCATATCATCTAGGCAATGAAAATAACTGCAGAACTTGTTTTTAAACAGTGAGTTAGATAATGATATTAATTATAATATTATAATTATCCTTTTGTCTAAGTTTTACAGTTGAATAATTTTGACACCATAATGCCAAGAGTGTAAAAAATGTTAAAATTTAAAACAAACATTATTATTTATTAAAAATAAACATTAGCTTACAGCAAATATATCACCTGCTGACTTGATCATAAACTCAGATGAATGTAGCAAAAGGTAGTTTGACAGTTGTGAACTATACAGTAACCAGGCAGTTCCAAAAATAGGAAAATAGTGTGACATCAAAATTAAATCTCAAAAGCATTAATCATATATGTGCCATATTGTTGGTGGCTTTATGAATTTAGACACTCACATTTCTATCTTCCATTTTCTTTATCTTAATATGGAGCTGGAGGGTTAATTACATATTTTTAGTTATGTTAATTATTTGTCTGACTTTGCTTCATTGACAGATCGAGATAATCTCAGTCTCTAACAATTTAGTAATCTAAACTATTAATAACAGGTGATTTTAGATTTGATTTATTCAATCCTAGAATTACACTAAATCTAGAAATAAATTTAGATACATTTTCAATTTATTTACTTCCATAAATTTTCCAAGTACTAGTGACTGTCTGTTTTCTGATCTTTAAAAGCACTACTTCTATCATTTGATATCATGTTTACATTTAAGTCAAAGAATTTCAGAAAACCTGCAACAGTTAAACATAATATAAACATTAACTAAGCAGTTGAATAAAAAGTTCTTATTGCAAACAACTACAGTTTGGATAAAAAAAAAAAAGTTGATTCCATTTCAGAAAGCTACTTGTAAGGTTACATCACATGGAACCTTACAATACTTCACTAATCTAAATATAAAAACAATGCAGTAAACATTATTGATCAAGATTTAATAACAAATAGATGGTGGAGTTCAACTTCCAAGAAAAATAAGATCATAAGACTATTCCAGTATAAGAATATCAAACTATTCAATAAAAGAATGTGAAGATATTCACTTAAACTCAAAGCTTTTCATTGTAAAAATGTAAAACTGGTGAGCAGAAGAATGCAAGACTATCCAACAGAAGTATGATAGACTATTCAGTATACAAACAGACTACTGAACAGAATAATGTAAGAATATCCAACAGAGGGATAAGAGACTATTTAGTGTAGAAACAGACTATTGAGCAGAAGAATGTGAGACTATCCAATAGAAGGATAAGAGACTATTCAGTGTAGGAACATAAGAATATTGAGGAGAAGTATGTGAGACTATCCAACAGAAGGATGAGAGACTATTCAGTGTAGAAATAGACTATTGAATGGAAAAACGTGAGACTATCCAACAGGACAATAAGAGACTATTCAGTGTGGAATCAGACTACTGAACAGAAGAATGTGAGACTATCCAACAGAAGGATGAGAGACTATTCAGTGTAGAAATAGACTATTGAATAGAAGAATGTGAGACTATCCAACAGAAGGATGAGAGATTATTCAGTGTAGAAACAGACTATTGAATGGAAAAATGTGAGACTATCCAACAGGACAATAAGAGACTATTCAGTGTGGAATCAGACTACTGAACAGAAGAATGTGAGACAATCCAACAGAAGGATGATAGACTATTCAGTGTAGGAACATAAGAATATGAGACTGTTAAAAAGAAGAATAAGTATATTCAGTGTAGGAAAATAAGACTATTCAGCTTACAGTCATAAGACTTTGGTGTGAAAAAGTAAGATTATTCAGTTAAAGGATAACATGAAACTACTGAGTAAAAGAAATTGAAACTGTTCAATATAACAAAAATAATACTATCCAGCTTTCACTAACCTTACAGAGATAGTATTTCCTAGAAATATTTTTCTCTAAGAAATGCTAACAATAAATTCACGTTCATATTGTTACAGCAACATAAAATAAGCTCTCATCGGCTTAACTAAGTAGATGACAGTATACACTTAAAAAGCTGTATGAGAAAGAATAAGATCAGATTGATTACTCCATCATGGAAGGTGAAGTATGTTTCCATATGTAGTATTTTATTATACTTAGCTGGATACACTTATCATACCTGCTCTAACTGAGCCATTTTATGAGATTAATCTGTTGTAGATGAAACGGTTACACTTATCATACCTGCCCTGACTAAGCCATTTTCTAAGATTAATCTGTTGTGAATGAAACGGATACACTTATCATACCTGCTCTAACTGAGCCATTTTCTAAGATTAATCTGTTGTAGATGAAACGGATGTACTTGGATGGCAGTGTTGTTCTTGTACCCTCTCTACCAAGCAAGTGAAGGATGCGTATAGCTAAACTGGTGTGTTCACAGTCTTCAATAAACTCACAGAGATGTGCCAGACCTACAGGTAAAAAACAGTGTAAAAAAGTTTACAATAAACTCACAGAGATGTGCCAGACCTACAGGTAAAAAACAGTGTAAAAAAGTTTACAATAAACTTACAAAGGTATGCCAGAACTACAGTGAATGACAGTGTAAAAAGTTTACAATAAACTCACACAGGTGAACCAAACTTACTGCAGCAAAAGCTCTAGTATCTTAGATTTACAGCATAAAAGGTGTACATATATATATGAAACTTTGAAAAATAGAGAGCAAGTTACAAAAACTACTTTCTCAAAAATACTAATCTATTTTCTCTATACATCATTCAATACTCTTAACCTATGATGGTATATTTGTTAATTTGTTTATGTCAAAGTTACTAAGGCTGTCTACCAGTATCCCTAATACTGAACTGCTGACCACAAGGAAAGCAATCAGCCAGCAGCAACCATTGCCCACTCTCTTGATGCTATTCACCAATTTATAATGAGTTTGAGCTTCTTATTAAAGCTTCCACAGATGAAAGGGTTAGCATGTTTTTTGAACAGGGTCCATCTCAGATCCAGTAGTATTGAAACAGTAAAACTAATGGCTAGTTGGCCCAAGTCTATGTAATTAAAAAAACAATGTGCATCAGTCAGTCTGTGCGTGTATGCATGCCCCCTCACCTGGAAAGAAAATATTCCTATTGGCTAGTTTTACAGTGATACTTTTATGTTTGTACGCATGCAAAAGTGAATGATGGTTGAAATGCATTGTTCTATAAGAATATGAACTTAAGATGTTTATGACATTAACTTTAAAGACAATTACAAGAAAACACATTAAGTTAATTCTTTACATTTACATCTCAATACAAATTTCAACAGACACCTAAAAATTAACATTTAGATGAGTTTACTGCTATATAATCTATGTCACTTAGCCTCAATAGTCACTGCCGCAACTTCATTAAGTTTTGATACTCTAAAGCTAACAGACTGTGCAAAATAAAATAAGTGAAGGTTTCAGATGCAATTTAGACAAACATACAACAAAAAATTTATAAACAATCTTTTGATGACAATTTATTTTTATGCTCTTGATACCATAATTTTATAACTATGATATGTTTTCAACTATCTCAATACAGGTGCCTAAAATTGACAATTATGCTTAGTTATTGGTGGTAGTGGACCCAACACTTTGCTACTACTTTAGGAGAGAGTTTGTTTGTTTGTTGTTAAGCACAAAGCTACACAATGGATTATCTGTTCTGTGCCCGGGAAAGTACTGAGACCTAGTTTTAGCAGGGTGAGCCTACAGACTTATCACTGAGTGGCATTAGGGGAGAATAGAAAAAAAAAGAGCTGAAACCATTATGGAAGGAAAAAAAAAGTGAAACAGTGATAAATGAAGGCAGTTTGGTTTTATACACTTTTTGAAACAGTGATAAATGAAGGCAGTTGTTTTTACACTTTTTGAAACAGTGATAAATGAAGGCAGTTGTTTTTACACTTTTTGAAACAGTGATAAATGAAGGCAGTTGTTTTTACACTTTTGAAACAGTGATAAATGAAGGCAGTTGTTTTTACACTTTTGAAACAGTGATAAATGAAGGCAGTTGTTTTTTACACTTTTTGAAACAGTGATAAATGAAGGCAGTTGTTTTTACACTTTTTGAAACAGTGATAAATGAAGGCAGTTGTTTTTACTTTTTGAAATAGTTATAATTTAAGGCAGTTGGTTTTTACACTTTTTGAAATAGTGATAATTGAAGGCACTTGATTTTACACTTTTTGATACCATAATTTAAAAAATTCACTATTTTATAACACTATAAGAGTTTGATAAAAAAAATAATAAAAATTTTAGACAGAGATGATGATCATCCAGACAGACAAGGTGTTCATACAAAGGGTGTTGTGTACAGATATATTTTGTTTATAGTCATTCCATGTTTTTACACTTCTTTAGTTTAAATCTAAATACAACAACTCTATATTACATAAAAAAAAACATCATTATTTAAAAGGTTCATCTATTTAAAACATATCCTTCTTAAATATATATATATATATATTCATATATATACTATTCCACTTGATAATATTGCATAGGAGAAAAAACAATCTTGGAACTTTGTTTTGTAAGGCACAGCACACGCTTCATATGCAGGAGGTCAAGGATTAAATCCCACCTTCAGTCCATTTTATAAAGGTCTTTTTTGCTAAACAATGTTTCAGTAGTCAAATAATTTTAATACATACATTGAACAAAATGCGCAAGTTTATTCCCTAGTTTTGTAAATAAAATCATTCTTCCACATCACTTATACTAATAAGCTACAGTGATTTATTATAAGACTGTATTTTGTGATTTGCCCACAATGCCATGAAATAATCTGGCTAAAATAAAAGTAGCACAAGTGTGTACAAATCAGTTACAAATAAAGTAAAACAAAACACAAGATAATTTTTGAAACAAAATTAAAAGTTGAGAAAAAGATAACATATTAAACATAATCTAACAATATATTTTAAAAATCATTTTTTCATTTTACTGTGTACAAAATACCTGTTATTTGAACAAATAGGCTAGTTCAAAAACAATTTAAAACTAATAAAAACATAGATGTGAATAAGTGACAAAAAACACAATTCTTCAAAATTAATTTAAGGGAACAATAAATTACTTTCTCGATAAAAATCTTGTACTAAATATCACATATCAATGCTTTAAATGTTCAAGCCTTAACAGATGTTGCTACTACTTTAAGCTTGCTATAAAGCCTCTCCAAAAACTATGAATATCTTTTGTTGTTTATTTGTTTCTATTTTTTCAACACTGATTTTCAGTTTTGAATGCCCAAAATAACTTTTCACTCACCTTGTATATTTTAATTTGTTTGTATGTCCTAGAAATATCAGAACTCTGAATATTTAAGTTTGATTTTAAATTTTTATTGCTTTATACCCAAACTTAAGTTCAAATTTCCTAAAATTTGAATCTTTTGGAATTGAATGTTTTAAGATGGTAGTAAAAGTTTTTAATGTAAAATGCACTTTCTATTTAGTTTTTATTATGAAATACTTTTTAAGTTTTCCTTTTGCTGTGTCAAGTCTGAGCTCTGAATTCTTCACAATTTTCCAATTTCTAAAATAGGCTGCTGCAATTTCCAACCAATCAGAAACACAAAATTATACACAATTATAAGCAATATATTACAGCCCATTAATACCAAGGACAGAAAAACCTGCTGTGTCACAGCCCATTAATACCAAGGACAGAAAAACCTGCTGTGTCACAGCACATTAAAACCAAGGACAGAAAAACCTGCTGTGTCACAGCACATTAAAACCAAGGACAGAAAAACCTGCTGTGTCACAGCACATTAATAAAAAAGCCAGCCAAACCTGCAGCTTATACAATTCATTAACTCTCTGTATGTGGGCTTAGTTATTTTGACTGACCATGAAACTATGCATACTATAAACTTTGAAGATACTAAATGTACCTTCACAAAATTTGGCAAGCTTTTGGAAAACATTTCAAATATGCTGTGCACTAAAAATCTGATTTTATAATAAAGAAAGAATTTTTAACATATTTATGCAGCCTTCACTGAGTGAAAGGCGATTTTCATGCTAAGAATAAAAACAACTCTTTTCATCTTACATTTTTCATGTTTCATTTTTTATAATCTCTAAAACTTCCTAAAAACTTTCTCAGTAAAAGTTTATACCTTATATCTCAAGTTCTCTACCTCAACACTAAATGTAGTCAAATAATCTATGGCAAAAGATTATTTTATTTTTTTTGGAATGAGTGCAGATTGTAACAGACAATTAGAATTATTTAACTCGGGCTTCTCGGCTTGTTACGACAGTTATTATTTGACTTTTGTTTAATTGCTCTTTTCATCTTGCCTAACTACTGCAACATGCAATATATCTTTTAGTGGGAATGAACATTTTACAGTAAACAAAGTTTCAGGTTGTGATATGACGTATAGCTTTGTATGTTCCTTGTGCATTACTCAAGGAGTGATCATTTTCTCCATACATCGAGGCCTACTTAGGAAATAGAAGATTTCACTGCGAAAACACATTAGAATATCCTCACACTGTTCACAGAATGGCCTTTTCTATTGGTTATAAACATGTACCATTGACAAGTAGCAGAGAGCAGAAGCATGAAGAGTTTTGAGGAGTTCCTGCAGTAGGTTGATAAGTTTATTGATATCTCAGAAATTACAGAAGGTGAGAGGGTTTTCATATATATATTCTGGCCTATCAATATTTATGTTAGTTAGATATGTATTGATGGATACACTAAATCCAGTATAAAAGAAGAAAGAAAATCCAAAAATAGGAATTCAGATTATAGAGGGTCATATGACACAGCAAAGTGAAGAATTAGAATTAAATACTTCCTTTTGAAAAATTAAAATTTAGATAAAAAAATTGAATAATAAACTATATTTGAATACTAACTTCATTGAAACATAAAGTAGGTTAACTAAATTTCTAATGTAAAATGGTCATGACATACATATCTCTCAATCCAACCCTCACCGAATTTCAGAGGATAAATAGCTATGATAGACAAATCTTTAGCTAACACAATCTATGAAGCAGATGAATTATGCCTTACAGAAAACTCCTCACATATCCTGTTCAAATAGGAAATTATAAATGGTCTGGTATTATCACAAGTCAGAAAAGTACATGGACAAACTAAATATAAAATAAGAACCTCCCACCTCTATGATTTGCTGAGATAACAATATTTTTGGTGAATCTACTAGAGTGGCTCCTCCAACTACTCCATTCTTTTGAAACCTCTTGTCTAGTCCCACCTACTACACCTATTAAGAGTGTGTTTATAACCAATAGAAAGAGCAGTTTTCCCTCTATGTAAATCTGACAGTCATTTGTAAACAAGTTGAAGGAGAAAGTAATAATTTTGCCAAAACTGTTGAACTGTGATGACTAAGTCATTGCTACGAATAAGAATGGAATTTTTTGTAACCCA